AGGTCTTCTGGATTTAATAAAAGCACAACCAATAACTTTTTTTTTCTTTTGTTTTTTGAGACAGGGTTTCTCTGTGTAGCTTTGTGCCTTTCCTGGAATTCTCTCTGTAGCCCAGGCTGGCCTTGAACTCATAGAGATCTGCCTGGCTCTGCCTCCCAAGTGCTGGGATTAAAGGCGTGTGCCACCACCGCCGGCCACAGCCAATAACTTGGTGGGTAACTGAGAACCAGCTGGAACCTCCCTTGGCTAAATGCTGCCTTCTAAAGCTGGGGTCTGAAGGAAGCTTAGCTTTGCGACAGTGTGGTGTGACCATTGTCCTCAGCATGAAGATAAACGATTCTCAGTCTCATGCCAAGAAGTGTTTCCTTGCACTCACATCCATTACTTAGAATGATAGCATCATTCATTTTTTTCACCCAGCATCGAAATTTGCATTTTGCACAAAATTTGCCTGGTACAGCAGATTTTTATAGTTATGGCAATGTGCGAGTGCTCAGCTCCCTAGATGTCCTTTAATAGGCATGGGGGAAAGTGGCCCACCTGGCTCTGGGGCAGTCCGATTCCTACAACTGCAACAAAAGGGGCCTGTGTTTCTTTTCACTCCAATTCTTAGTCCCCAGTTTAAGAAGTCCTGGCTTTGGAAACACTACGTTTGTCTGTCTCTTTCAAAACTCATTGCGTATAGATGTCAGGGTCTAGACCAATCTTGAGTGCTAAATTTCAACCCTTGTGTGTGTCTTTTCATACTCTGCATTGATGTGGTAATATGTGTAATTTGTTCTGTAGGGATATACAAACATGTGAGCATATTGCATCGCCATGGGGAAAAGGAGCGGGGTGAGGGGTAGGGCACAGTCCTGGCCACGGGGAGCACTAGGGAGTGACTCACTTGCTGGGACTCACTGCTCTACCCTTTGTTCATGATGGGGAAGCACTTGGCTTCTTGGTTGATGAATGTTCCCCCTTCTTTATATGGTTAAATTATTTTGTTTTGATAAAAATAAAACTTAAAAATGAAAATGTCTTGTGTGATTTATTAATTTTAACCTACACCATCCACCATAAACAACAACTTCCTGTAAGACTTATCTTCTGATTATTCCCAACTCATTAACCAGACACCCTTTCTGCCATATTGGAATTTCATTCCAGTCAACAAAAAGGTGAGATAATAGCAAATTACCCTATTTTCTTGTGCTGTTACTTGTCCCCACGTGCCTCATTTGTCATATGACTTGCCTTAATTTATAGTTTTTAACTTAGAAATGCCTTTTAAGATTCTTAAATGTAGCTAAACTTTGAAACCACACGAGAGTACTATCCAAAGTACAATAATCTAAAACTTTCCCCCTTGGAATTGATGTTTCTTGGAAGCTTGATTTTATTCATTAACAAAGAAAACATTCGTACATCAAAATCATGCCTCTTTATGAAGATAGCGAATGTGTTCATTGCAAGAATGTTTTCCAGCCTAGCACAATGTTATCCCTCTGCACATACAGCTTCGTGAAGTCAGTGGGCCTGCTGCTTTGGAAGAAACTTGGAACACACGTACTAATTGGTGGCTCTTAACTGCTTATTGCCTAACTCCTCAAACTATGGTTGTAAGAAATTAGTCCATTAATTTTCAAACTTCAGCCATTTGAAAACCATCTCAATGTTTTTTGGTGATATGTTTCAATACAACACTTGCGGGTATATTATTTACTTAATCTTTTTATTTAAAAAAATCTCTGCAATACAGGAGAGATTATTGCTTTAAGCAACAATGTCTGTGAAATATCTCATTTAGTGTAATAGTTAGGTATCTGTTCTAATACACATTTAAACACAAAGTCATCAAAATCTTTCATCCATGTACCACTTAAATATTATCTTTATGCCACCATTGGTGTGCTTTTTACACTTGGGGAAACACTGAGATAATCTAAAAGGTGTAGGTGCAGTTGGAGTCTCCAATTATTCTAGTAAGCATAGTTTCTGCCATTATCTGTTTTTCTCTCCAAGATACTGACATGAAGACCTCATGTACAAATGTAAATATACAGGTGAATTTTCTCCATCAAAATTTACAGCTGAGGGGCTGGAGAGATGGTTCAACAGTTAAGAGTGCTGTATTAGTTTTGTAGAGAACCTGAGTTCAATTCTCAGCACCCACATTATATGGCTCCCTATTGTCCATAACTCCAGCTTCAGGAAAGAAACAGTGACCTTTTCTGGCCTCCGTTGGCACCTGTACTCACGTGGACATACACATACATAGCCTCACACACATGCATGTAATTAAAAATAAATAACTAAATAAATGGGTGTTATAGTGCATGCCTTTAATCCCACCACCCAGGAGGAAGAGGCAGACAGATCTCTGCAAGTTCCAGCCAACTAGTTAGGGTATACAGTGATACCCTATCTCAAAAGAAAAAAAAAAGAGTTGATTTTCCCTGTGGCCCATTATTATCTTTTTTTGGTGTATGTGGCTAGGGGACAACCTACTACTTATATTCTGCTAAATGAACAGAGCAATACAATAACTCATAATGACACATTGCTATACCCATAGATCAATACATTGCTCAGTCTTCATTAGAGAAGCAGTAGATGTAATTAACACAGAGACCCATGATTGGACAATGTCCAGAAACTGAAAGATTTTAGAATATTTGACCCCAAATGGGATGTCTTTATCAAGCCCCTTTCCTTGAGGCTTGGAGGGTCTACGCATCAGAGGAGTTAGGATGATTGTAAGATCCAGACGTGGAGGATGACTCTAAGAGACAACATCTTCCAGACACAGGAGGGCTGATGCACACAGATAAATCCTCAGAAACTGTGACAGCACACACAAGAACCACACAGGTTCAAACCAGACAAAATGCCAGCATAGATGAAGGGAAGTGGGGAAGAAGTCTCACTTAGAAGCTATTTACAATTGAAGGCTGCTGGGAGAGGGGAAAACAGTTTTCTCCGATGGAGTATGTGGTGGTTTGAATAAAAATGCCCCCTCAGGCTCAGATATTTGAATGCTATTTCAAATATATGGCACTATTTGAAAGGATTTAGGAGGTATGGCATTTTTGGAGTAGGTGTGATCATGTTGGAGGAAATGTGCCACCATGGGGTGGGCTTTGAGGTTTCGAAAGCCCATGCCAGACCCAGTTGGGTGCTCTCCCTGCCATCCCCACCCCTCCCTATGGATCTGGGTGTAGCTCTTAGCCACTTTTCCAAGCACCACACATGCATGCCACCACGCTTCCTATCATGATTATAGACTAAGGCCTGAAAGTGTAAGCAAGTTTCCAGTCTTACTTTCCTTTAAAAGAGCTGCAGTGGTCATGGTGTCTCTTCACAACAGTAGAAGAGTGACTACCCTATATAGTCAGGGTTTCTATTGCTGTGATAAAAACACCAGGACCAAAACCAAATTGGGGAGGAAAGGGTTTATTTGACTTACACTTCCAGATCATAGTCCATCACTGGAGGACATCAGAACAGGAACTCAAATAGGACAGGAACCTGGAGGCAGGGCCTGATCCAGAGACCATAGAGGAGTGCTTCTTACTGGCCTGCTCCCCATGGCTTGCTCAGCCTGCTTTCTTATAGAACCCAGGACCACCAGACCAGGAATGCACCACCCACAAGTACTAGGCCTTCCCCCATCAATCACTTATTAAGAAAATGCCCTACAGGCCTGCCTATAATCTGATCTTACAGAGGCATTCTCTTCCTTCCTTCCTTCTTTTCTTCCTTCCTTCCTTCCTTCTTTCTTTCTTTTTTTTCTTCCTTCTTCTTTAAAAAAAATTTTTTTTGAGACAGGGTTTCTTTGTGTAGCCTTGACTGTCCTGAAATTCACTCTGTAGACCAGGGTGGCCTTGAACTCACAGAGTTCTCCTGCCTCTGCCTCTCAAAGTGCTGAGATTAAAGGCATGGGCCACCACCACCTGGCTGGGTATTTTCTCTATTGAAGAAGTTTCTTCCTCTCAGATGACTTTAGCCTATGTCAAGTTGACATAAAACCTCCCAGCACTGTGATTAAGACAGAATGGTACTGGGTACATCAATCACAATCCAGAGCAGGCCCCATGCTCAGGAGTAGTTGATCAACATAAATGTACTCCATGTTTTTTTGTGTACTTTTTTTTTTTTTTAATCTTTTGGGGTTTTGAGTTTGAGTTTTTTGTTTGTTTGTTTTGAGCAGGAAGGGAGGTGAGGAGGATCTGGGAAGAGTTGGGAGAAAGGAAAGAATGTTATCAAAATATATTGCATAACCAATTATTTAAAAGGCCACTAAATAAACTGCAGATCTTCACCTCCCCCTCCATTCCTCCCAATTCAATCCCCCAATCCCATCTCCAGCTCTGCAGCAGACCATCTGCTGCAGCTTCCCTTCACCCACTCCAGTCCCCCATCTCCAGTGGGTCTCACAGATCTTCCACTCCTAACTCCCCCCACATTGCTTTATTCCAGCCCCCAGCTCCTGCAGGTATTCTCTAGGAACCCATAGGCCACTCTGGCCAGGGATTGAGGTGAGCTAACTGCGGATCTTTACCTCTCCCTTCTCTCCTCCAAATTCAGTCTCCAACTTTCACCCCATCTCTGTAGCAGCCCTCCCCAACTTCTCTGCCCCCATCTCCAGTGGTCCAGCAGATCTTCTCCTCCAGCCTTCCTCTCCACTCTTCCTGCTATCACAGCCCCTGACTCTAGCAGACATTCCTTGGAACCCACCAGCTAACCCCACTAGAGGAGCAAGTAGACCTGTGAAGCATGTAGGCAAGCTCCAGCTCTTCATTCTCTCTTCTC